CTGCAATAAATTACATATGATTGGCCATATACAAAGGGATTGCTGTTAGGCAAGCAGGGAACTGCACTGCCAGGCTCTCTAAGGGCACTCATGATCCCAGTGCAAGACTGCAGCTGACATTTAATTTAAAAATCAAAGGTTGTTCAATGCAAAAAGTGAGCCCATGCGACCATAATAAGAAAAGCAGCAGGGGGCTCTGTGGGAAGGATGGAAATTTAAAAATCACTGTTTCTAATAAGCACATACAGTATCTTAAACAGATAATTAAAGAGCTCTTATCACATTTGTATGTAGATTGAACAAAATATGGCAAGATGCCTTGTCAAAACATTTTCCAATGCAGTGTGCTCCGCTTCACAAAATGGATGAAAGACTCTGTCAGAATTTCAGACCTACCACTGCAGACTTCCCAGCCACCTTACACGCCTAAAGCACGGTGCTGACCTGTCGGGTTACCACGTCTAGCAAAACAACCACCTAAGCAAGTCTTTGGGATTATCCTCCCCCATATTCCACAGGCAGAACAGGAACGGATGGGGATAAGCCAGTACAACAGAGACCTCGCGTCTGACTTGCAGCTGCATCGTAAACAACATCCAACTCATTGTAGCTTTCTGCCTGACTCGGTGACATGAACTCATCGCTTCATTTCTCCAACACGCTCCCCTGGCTAAAAACCTAAGTGTGAAACATCTGCTGGAAAAAACCCTCTTTGCCCCATGAACCCCGCTCAGGTACCTGGTCCTTGAGATGGGTCTCTGTGCAGTACTTCCATTGCTGAAACACCTCGGACAGTTTATCCAGGCCACCATGGTGAAAATGGAAGATCTTGTACTGGCTCTCCCTGCTTGCAACAACCAGTTGTCCACAGGTGCACGCCTCATCGCTGTGGGGCAAAACAACGGAGGACAACAACCTGCATTTATTGCCCAGGATAACGAGAGGCCCAGCGGGAAGGGGGAACATCAGATGAAAGCGTGAGGACAGCAAATTACAAAGAAGTGTAGCACCAAGTAGTCCCTTTAAATGGAGTGTAGAAGTAATCTTACAGCTCTGGACAAGGCCATAGTGACCCTCACTTCCTCCAAGAAGCTCCACTCATGCCTGGTAATGGCACTCTCTTACCCTTCCATCATGGGAAGGAATTCAATTTTGTCTTCCCCGGAGAAAAAAACCCAAGAAGTCTGCCCCAGCAACACTAAGGCAGTACACAAAGGCAGCTCCTAGAGATGAGCAGACTTGGTTGCACACAGCATTGTCTAAAGAAGCAGGGAGCGAGAGAGGAAAAGAGGGAGTAAAAATGTTTTTAATAACTTTTGTAATAATTTGAAAGATAACTGAAGAGGTTAAGAGCAGCAAGACCCTAGAGGAGCCCCGGTGAGGGGCAGGCAAGGGAGAAGGTACCATAGATAGAGATGTTTTCCACACCTCCAGGTTATTTTAAACATTTTGGGTAAGATAGCTAAGAGCAACCTTTACCTTACTAGGGAAAAAAATCCTTTAGGCCCCATAACTGTAATTCAGAGGCTCTCCTAGGGAAGGC